AGAAGAAGAAGAAGAAGAAGAAGAAGAAGAAGAAGAAGAAGAAGAAGAAGAAGAAGAAGAAGAAGCAGCAGCAGCAGCAGCTTTTTATCAACTTACAAAGCCTGGATATTTAACACCCATTCATCCCGAAACGAAACATCTCTCAGCATAAAAAGACCTTATTTTAAAATTGCTAGGACATACTTTATATGTGACTATGTCTCCACCTGCTGAATTATCCAAGTAATTGTAATCAATACATGGATCCCACAGTTAAGTACCATTTTCAGTCAATCTTACAGCATTTTATTTATGTTTTTTAAGGCTTTGTATAGTTTTTATCTTTTTAAGATGGCAAGCGGCCCAGAGCTACCCTGTGGTGAGATGGGCAGCTAATAAATGTTACAAATAAATAAATTTTATAGCTTTGTACATAAAAATTTTCCTTACATCCTTACATTACAAAAATGTACAAGTACTGCGGCAAACATTCATCTACCACAGCCTTTCTCAACTTTGCCACCTTTAAGGCATTTGGACTTCAACTCCCAGAATTCCTGAGCTAACCATGCCGGCTGGGGGAATTTGGGAATTGAAGTCCACATGTGTTAAAGTTGCCGTGGTTGAGAAATACTGATCTACAACATAAAGTAAAACTCTGTGAATATAACTACTTCCAATGTCACTGTAATGGTGAATCAGTGTAGATGCTAAGTCAAGATTCAGAAATTTGAGTTTCAAATTTCCTTCAGATTTGGATTCTTGATTTTAGATTTGTCTTGAAAATAAAATCTCTTTCAAGGACAAACGGTTTTGAAATTCAGAGCCATACCTCATAAAGCTATTAAAGAAAATACAGTCTTGTAAGTTTCTACTGTACAGTTTACTTTAGCTGGTTGTTTTAAAAAAAGATAAAGTATGTTCTGAATTCTAGATTAGAAACATTCTTTTGAACAGGGGATCTCCAACCGTGGCAACTTTATGATCTGTGGACTTCAATTCCCAGAATTCCTCAGCTGGCATGGAAGGAATTCTGGGAGTTGGACTCCATAAGTCATAAAGTTGCCAAGATTGGAGGCTTCTGCTTTAGATTAGAACAGAGGTTCCCAAACTTGGCAACTTTATGATTTGTGGACTTCAATTCCCAGAATTCCTCAGCCAGCATGGAAGGAATTGTGGGAGTTGAAGTCCACAAGTCTTAAAGTTGCCAAGTTTGGGGACCTTTGGATTAGAACATAGAATAATAGGGTTGAGACCTTTTTGGACCCCATCATTCTATTAGCTCCTGAGTGTGAATGAGATCAACTAATTTAGCTGTTACAGGAGTGATTTTGTCACTACTTATCTTCATATATATTAAGTAAGTTCAAGCAAGGATCTTACTATAAAAATCAATTTAAGTTTAGTAGACAGATCACTCCCCATGTCTTTTTCTTAGACACATAACATTTCTTTTTCTTTTTAAAATTTTATCGGATATATTTCAATAGAAGAGTCTAAACTGAAAAAAATGTAGAAAAAGGAAGAGAAACAAAAGAAGTCATGTTGGTGCAGTGGTTAGAATGGAGTATTGCAGGTTAACTCTGCCCAATGCCAGGAGTTCGATCCTGACCATCTCAAGGTTGATTCAGCCTTCTATCCTTCTGAGATTGGCAAAATGAAGACTCAGATTGTTGGGGACAATATGCTGACTCTGTAAACCACTTAGAGAGTGCTGTAAAGCACTGTGAAGCGATATAACCTAAGTACTGTTGTTATTTATCATTGACATTTTGTTTTCCTGAGGTATTTATCACATTTGTGTGTTATGATAACCGAGTGCTTAGGACAGCATCTTCATAAAAAGCGAGTCACTTACCACGTGCATTTGGAGCATGTCAATTCCAAAATGAGCTAAGTGTTTGGCAATATGAGGATCCAAAACAGCTTCTTCTTCCTCAAAGGAATAGACATCTGCAAAAATAAGAACAAAGCGATAATTCACCAAATGTAACTTATCAATAGCATTTGACATTCCATGCTCTACATATCAAGGAGATAGAATATACAGATTAAAAAAAATGTTCTAACAGAAATTCTCCACTTACTATGGAAGGAGAAGCAACAAGGTTCTAAACCAAGTTTCAACAAATCATAATGAGCCGAGGTGGCGCAGTGGTTAGAGTGCTGAACTGCAGGCTACTTCTGCTGACTGCCGGCTACCTGCAATTTGGCAATTCGAATCTCACCAGGCTCAGGGTTGACTCAGCCTTCCATCCTTCAGAGGTGGGTAAAATGAGAACAACCCAGATTGCTGGGGGCAATGTGCTGACTCTGTAAACCACTTAGAGAGGGCTGTAAGGTATTGTGAAGCGGTATATAAGTCTAAATGCTATTGCTATTGCTATTGCTATAAACAGTGTGCAACAGTGGTTAAGCTACAGGATAAGGACCTGGCCAATTCAGGATCAAGCACACATTTCTTCATCCAAGCTCATGAGGTAACTTTGGACGAGTGGTTATACCAGTTCAACTCATCCAAAGAGACTTAACATTAGGGAAGAATTCGGGGGAAATGTATACAGGTAGTCCTCGACTTAGAACCACAATGGAGCCCAAAATTTCCATTGCTAAGCAAGACAGTTGTTAAGTGAATCACAACCGCAGCAGTTAAATTAGTAAAACAGTTGTTAAGTGAATCTGGCTTCCCTGTTGATTTTGCTTGTCAGAAGGTCACAAAAGGGGATCATGTGACCCCGAGAGACATTGCAACCGTCATAAATATGAATCAATTGCCAAGCATCTGAGTTTTGATCATGTGACCATGGGGATGCTGCAACAATTGTAAGTGTGCAAACAGTCATAAGTCACTTTTTGTTACTTGAAAGAGTTACTAAATGACTGGTTGTAAGTCCATGACTATCTGTATGCTATATTGAGTTCCAAGAGAAAAGTGGGGAGGTGGGATATACTGTAGATCTAATTGTCGCCTTCAAGACTCCTTTCTTTCGCTATCTTTTTGGCTGCCATAGTAACAGGGGGAGGGTGAATCAATTGGGCTTTGTGAGGTGGGAAGTATGCTGGAGGCTTTAGAGAATTAACTATATAACTTGGGGAAAACTTTATTGTTTATGCTTACTTGCTTGCTTACTATGCAACTGCAGCTCTTTATCAAACTAGGCCAAGGTCAACAGCCAGATGTCTGCATCACCACCTGAAGAAGCCTCACATGACATTATACACATCTTCGATTGGATGGACCTTTTGAACTATAGGGGTGGGAACGTTGCCATCACTTTGTATATGTGATTTGTGCGTGTAAATTCTCAGATCTAGAATTCCTTTGATGCTACCACTTGATTTCCAGTAAAAGTCCTTTTCTCTATAACAATGGAGTCTAAGGGTATCTTTCTTGGATTTTGAATGGAGCACCATCTGACACTAATTATATAAATAGTCATGCATTTCATTTGTTTTGTTCATTCATTCAGGCCAGAGACAATGAGTTAATTGTAATTGAACCCATCTGGAAATACAAGACTGGCAAAGAATGATTCTAGCCACTGGGTCTAACTTCAGTCAAGCTAACTAAAGAGCAGAGGTCTTAATGTCCCTTCTTTACATTTGTTTAATCTTTTTATGTTGCAAATCACCTTAAATTAAACTGGCACCTGTTGGCTTTACGTCAGCGGTGGGATTAAAAATTTTTTACTTCCGGTTCTGTGGGTGTTGCTTGGTGGGTGTGGTTTGGTGGGAGTGGCAGGGGAAGGTTATTGCAAAATTCTATTCCCTCCCCACCCCACTAACCTGCTTTCCAGCTCCATTCTCCTGTGCAAGGCAACAAAAGAAGACCCAGCCAATCAGCTGGGACTCGGGAGGCGGAGAATAGATGGGGGTAAGGCCAGTCAGAGATGGTATTTGCCAGTTCTCCTCAAAACTAGTCAAAATTTCCACTACCAATTCTCCAGAACTGTTCAGAACCTGTTGAATACCATCTCTGCTTTACATCCACATCTGTTTTTCTCTCAGAACAAGTGATAGAATCTGGCTGGCGTGGATTTTTTTTCTCTCTTGGGCTCTTAATACTTGTAAATGATCAAACAGAAAATGTTCCTGCTGTAGGGATAAAGACTAAACTACAACTTACAATATTGACAGGAAGACCAAATACAGCAATAACAAATATGTCCTCATCTGCTCATCATGAAGATACACTCGATGACAAATAGTTCATGATTCTCATTAGGGTATTTTTCCGGCAACAACCATAATGTTGCAAACAGCAGATCTCAGCAGATCAATCAAAGGAAGAACAGAATAGATTTTTTTTTTAGATCTCCTGTGACTTTTTAAACGCTTTTGCTTCATTGCTAAATTCCCTTTAAGCTAAATAGCAGAACATAAAACATCTGATCAGCGATAGCATTTAGAATTTGAACCCTTTTATGTATTTGAATCCTTCTATGTCTATATTTACTTGTTTGAGCTGTTGTGCTGGAGGAAAAGTCTCCTGCATATTTCTTGGACAGCAAAGGTGAGTAAGAAGCAAGTACTCCATGGAGCACATAACACCAAACAGGTCACTAGAAGCTAAAATCACGAAATTGCATCTCACTTATTTTGGCCACATCATGCGGGAGGAATTCACTGGAGAAAGCAATTATGTTTGGAAGAGTCATTGGTAGAAGGAAAACCAAAACCAGGCTGTCAAAAATATGATGACTGGACACCATCAAAACTGATACCACGCAGAGCATAGAATAACCTCATAAAAATAGTGCAAGATCAGAAGCTGTGGAGATGTGGCCCATAGAATCACCAAAAGTCAGACATGACTGAATGGATAACATCATTGTCATCATGTATTGTGAAAGAGGGCTGTGAAACTATCTACAGACCCCTCCCATCCTGGACATAAGCTGTTTCAACTTCTTCCCTCAAAATGATGCCATAGAGCACTGCATGCTAAAACAACTAGACCAAGGACAGTTTTCCACCCATGCCATCACTCTGCTAAACAACTAATTCCCATAACACTGTCAAACTCCCTAGTAGGGCTGTATTACTATTATCCTTCTCATTTTCCCTATTACCTACTTCCTTGTCCTCTTAGGACTACAGTATAACTTTGTTGCTTATATCTTACAAATTTATATTGTTTTATTTAGTTTCCTAGCATGATTTATGATGATTGCTTATTTTGTATTGTACGACCATCAGTAAGTGTTTCTGAAGAATGTATCTTATGACGATAACTATGTCTCTTATGATGATAATGTAATGTTATGATGATAATGACTTGTTGCTTGTACCAGTATGTACATTGAGAGCTTATGCACTGGAGACAAATTCCTTGTGTGTCAAATCACACTTAGCCAATAAAGAATTCTATTCTATTCTGTTCTGTTCTGTTCTGTTCTGTTCCTATTCCTATTCTATTCCTTTTCCTATTCTATTCCTATTCCTATTCTATTCCTATTCCTATTCTATTCCTACTCCTATTCCTATTCTATTCCTATTCCCATTCCTATTCCTATTCTGTTCCTATTCCTATTCTATTCCTATTCCTATTCCTATTCTATTCCTATTCTGTTCCTATTCCTATTCTGTTCCTATTCTATTCCTATTCCTATTCCTATTCTATTCCTATTCTGTTCCTATTCTATTCCTATTCTGTTCCTATTCCTATTCTGTTCCTATT